TACCGCAACAGTTCATCTTAGTTTAACAAATATCAAGTACTTAGAAAAAAAACTCCCAGATAAGAACTACTAAAGAAGTACAGTCTCCTTGTCCTTACAATCAAAACTTAAAAATTATTATGCACAGAGGAAGAAGTACAAAAATATTGTTCATCATGAAGCGTTCGAATATCTTACATTATTGCATGAAGAATATAATTACATAAACTAAACTTTGGCAACTGGGATCTCAATCCACTGCCTTTTTTTTTTTTTTTTTTTTTGCTTATTCTTAAGATATTCTATGCGTTCTATCTTGGTGCCATTTGGGAGGCTGAGTTTGAGATTCACTGGATTTTTCCATCCTGAAGCTTCTTCCTTCATCTTTATGACAAATGCAATACTGAAATAAATCCCTGGGATGATCCATTTTGTGCCGTATTTGTAAGACTTAATGTAGCCACATGCCACAATTAAGCAGTTTAAGATGGTTTAAAGACAGTTTTTGATCTTTGATGGGAGGTTAAAGATAGTTGATGAGAGTTATCTTGGTTGCTAGTCTAGTCACATCTTTTCCATCAAAGTGATATTAATACAACAAAAAAAAATTTCTGAAAGCATAGACTAGAAAACATCTCTCAAACACTTTCTCACCACACCTAAATCTTGGGTTCATTGTAATCCACGTTTGGCTGTTGAACGATATGACTAGAGTAGAGGTAAGTGATTAAATTTCACCTTTTAACCTCAAACCAACCTCCTGAGTCCTGATAATATTTCAGCGTGCTTGTACATGATCACCACTGCAAAAAGAGATCATCCATTATATTATTAATAATCTTAATTAATTCATAGAGATCGAACTAACGTGACAGTTAGGAATTTTTTCGTTAATCATTAATATAATAGTTATTGTTTGAGGGGAAAGTTGATCTGCCAAAATTTTTCGTCAATCTGATCCCAAGATTCGTCTCCTTATAATCACAGAAAGCTAAATACTATGTCAGAAAAGGTGCAGCGTGACCTCTCCGATGCTAAATCAGTAAGAAAGCCATAGAAGCTTTAAGAATCTGGTATCTGATTTTTGAAAAGTTTTGTGAAGAGTATTCATGTAAAGATTGATCAAGATTGCAAACTAAATCCCTAGGAATCGAAAAATAGAAGAAAAACAGGAGAAACTCAGTTACTTTATTCAATTGACTGAACTCTTTTTTATATTTACGAAGTCTATAATCCAAGTGAAAACTAATCTCAAGCGTTGATTCACACAGCAACAAGCACAGATTAAGCAGAAGTTGTGCGTAGGATTGTTGTGTTTTCTGCACTTACAATTAACACAGCATTTTCGCCAGGAAGATGACTAGCAGTGAGTAGGAAGAAATTCAAAGAAATAGTAATCACAGCTTAGGAACTTAACGTTTGTTTCTTTTACTAAGGGTAGCTTGAGATTTTTTTTTTTTATACTTACTAAAGGACCTGTTCTTTTGGAATTAAGTTTGAGTGCAGCTTGCACATCTTCGTCAACAATTCAACATCTCTGTACCTTGGCTTTCCCCGTAGAATTAACAGAGCCTTGACTGTGGCAGTTAGGTAGTCATGATTTTGGAGGTTATCTTATGGCACATTGATAACTGCTGCAGTCAGATAGCATGATTTTGGTGGCTATGACATATTGATAACTGCTTATCTCCTCATCCACTAACTTGGACTGTTTTTATATACATTAACCATAGAGTTGAGGTTTCAGTTGTATGTATATTTGGGTGGATTATAACTGTACGCATCAAATTATAAACATGTCCCTTGGGCTCAAACCATTTTACTGGATCGTTGATCCATAATTTAATACCCAGTTTAGGCTCATTTAATTTGGACTTACTTTTGAAGACTTTCAACTAGGTTTCAGGTACTTCATTTATATCCAATAGCTATCAAGGATTGAGAGTTGCTTCAGATCAGCATTCTGCTCATACCTATAATAGATTAGGCTTTAAAAGATCATAATATCATATGCACAAAGTTTTCAATCATAAATAGATTTATCTCCTCATTTTCTAAGGGCACCAAAAAGATCTCATACTGCTTAATGACAGCCCACAAGCCATCCTTGGAGTAAAGCGAATGCAGATGGGCTCGCTAAAGGTAACCTTGGTTCAACATCTTGTGGGGGAAATTTTTTTTTTTTGGGTAAACCAAGTAATTATATTTAAAAAAACAGAATAAAAAATGAGAGGGAACTCTCCTGTATGCTTTTGCCTTGGACAAGTCCAAGGAGAGGCTAATAAAAAAAGGCCTAAGACCAAAAGGTTGTCAATAAAAAAACAGGTCTTAGCAAAAAATCAAGACAAACTATCTATACAAAGCCACATAGCCCAAAAAGGAACTCTGCATAACCCAAAGGCCGGCTCATGAATCTGCACATCCTACCCATACAACCAGCCCACATCAATAGTCCACACAAAAGGCCCATTCTACAACCCCAGCCCTTTGTAATTTTCAAATTTGGCGAGCCTCCAACATGGTTCCGGAGCCTCATTTCTGCATTCTAGGAAGCCCAACTTGTTACCTTCCAAATAGATTGATCAAATGCCACCATAACAAGCAGAACACTCTACCAAGAAGAATAAACTACCCAACAGTAGCCCATAAAAATTCTTCATTTCTCCACTTGGTTACTGCACCAAATCGTCATCAAAGAATAAAAATAAACATAAAAATCCCCCATCAACAATTCAACATCACTGTACCTTGGCTTTCCCCATAGAATTAATAGAGCCTTGACTTTGGCAGTTAGGTAGTCATGATTTTGGAGGTTATGGCACATTGATAGCTGCTTAAGTTATGCTTGATAGTTGTTGCAGTCGGATAGCCATGGGTTTCTTTGTTTCATTATTTTCTATTCTATTTCCTATTCTCAAAATAACTATTCGTTTCATTATTTAGGAAATTCTATTATATTATATTTAATTACTTTTAGACCCTTTAAGTTTATTAATTTAATTAAACACCCTCCAAAAAAGTTTAAAAATTAACAAAAACACCCTCACCTATCCACATTTTCCAGATTCCGGCAGCCACCGTCGGAAGGTAGCCAAAATCTGGTATAATGGTGTACTATCGACTGGATCTTTCCGATAGTGCACCGATCTATCATTTTCTGGCCAGATCCATCGTGAATCTGACCAGAAAAGGTCAGATCCACGGCCTAAGATCTAGCCATTGACGGCAAAGATCTGGCCATTGACGGCCAGATAATTAGACGACAACGACAGCTATATCTTTGACCGTCATTGATGACCGAACATGGCTAGATCTGGCCTTTTGTGGCCAGATCCATGGTGGATCTGGCTGGAAAAGACAATCTTTGCACACGGCTGGCTAGATCCAGTCGGTTGTGCACCGATACGGTGACTCTGGCCACCCTCCAGCGGTTGTGGCCGACTTTCAGAATTTAATGGGTGAGTGAGGGTGTTTTTGTAATTTTTAATATTTTTATTATAGGGGTGTTTAGTTATTTAACAAAGATATGGGGGTGTTTTTGTTATTTTTAAATTCTACCTTGTTATTGTCACCCAACTCTAAAAATATCAAAAATCCTATCCAAAATACTAAAACAAACGGACCCATGATTTTGGTGGTTATGACATGTTTTTTGATAACCAAGGGTGTCTGAGCTAGCTTATACGCACCTCAGCTAATCCTTCGAGATCCTGGAATTATTAGCTAGGTAAGAACTCTAGTGGTTACCCCTATTAGCAACCGAGGAGGGATTCGAACTCAAGACCTCTTGAATAATACACCTAAGAGTCCCTATCGAACCATTGACACATTGATAATTGCTTATCTCCTCATTCACTAACTTGGGCTATTTTTATATAAACTAACCATAGAGTTGAGGTTTCAGTTTTATGTATATCTGGGTGGATTAGAACTGTACGCAACAAATTATAATCTTTAGGCTCATTTAATATGGACTTACTTTTGAACACTCTTTTAACTAATACTTTTGAACACTCTTTTAACTTGGTTTCAGGTACTTCATTCATATCCAATAGCTATCAAGGATTGAGTGTTGCTTCATAACAGCATTATGTTGATACCTATAATAGATTAGGCTTTTAAAAGATCATCTGCACAAAGTTTTCAATTATAAACATATTTATCTCGTCATCTTTGAAGGGCACCAAAAAGATCTCATGCTACGTAATGACAACCTACAATCCATCCTCGGAGTAAAGCGAATGCAGATGGGCTTGCTAAGGGTAACCTTGGTTCAACATCTTGTGGGAAAATTTTTCACAGTTATGAAGGTGATTTTCTAGAATGCTTTGTAACTACCCAAAAAGGATATATACATGAGATTCTTTTTCTATCACCCAGGTATTTTATACACAATTGACTGTTCAAATACTGTATTATCTCAATTGTCTTAAGTTTCCATTTGTTGATGCGAATTTCGGCACTGGCTAAAACGTCGAGACGAAGAAGAGTGTAAACTAGAGGTACTCGGTTGACTCCAGGGAAAACTGAGTAATATGGGTGCATGATCCCTGGGAATCGGCATAAGGGACCCGTGTCGCATGTGACGGTGATCAAGGTAGTGATGTGTCTCCCAAGAAATGATGAGACAATTGAACATCTTTAAAGTGGTTCGGCTGAGAAGAGAATAAGGCCTTCGTCCATTGATATCTTATTTATTTGCATAAGATTGGGATACAAGATATGGGTTTTTCCGGTGGTCAGAAAAAGGTTTCCAGCTTGCTTTTCTAGCCGAGGATCTAGGGTTAGAGAAAGTTACCTTTGTGGTTCCTTAAAACTTGGATTATATTTGTTGTCCAACTAAAAATGTGAGGATTTGAACTTTTGGCCTTTGGCTCATCATTAATATTTGGGATTGATAAGCTGCTTGATGGGATGATATTTGCTTTGATGCAATAGCAAATTTACGGTCTACAGTTTTGACAAGCTTAGATTTGAAAAGGAGAATGAGAAAGTAGAGCATATATATATAAACTGAGACTCTAGATTATTCCATAGATTATTATACAAAAGTCCCATACATTTTATTTATTTCGCAGTTATAGAGACCGCTACTAGTACTACTACTTATATATGACGCATGAGAACTAAATTACTTTATTCATTATATATCTACAAACTTAGTTTTGCAAACGTCCTTTCTTCGATCATCCTCATGCTTATTACTCTTTGGCAGTAATGACGATCCCTTTGATGACAAGTCCTTTTTTCCAGTTCCCGTCCTCGATTTCATACATAGAGATTTCCATCTCCCCAGCCCTCTCCGGCAAAGTTCTGAACTCGCCAATGGGGATCTCTATCCATTGATTTCTTGGCTTCATCTTCAAATTTTCTTTGTGCTCTATCTTGATTCCGTTTGGTAGTAAGAGTCTCAGGTTCACTGGAGCATCCCATCCATAAGCTACTTCCTTCAACATTATGACAAACACAACTTCGTACAAAGCCCTCGGAGTGAGCTTTGTTGTCTCGAATCTCACCTTTATCTCCAGCCAGCACACGTTTAATAGTTCAGCCACATCTACAAAAACATCACTGCCAAAAAACTTACAATCAGGAGAATTATTATCCAGTAAACTCATCCATTGATTTAACAAATGTTCTTGCAGAAGTTAGGTGATACGAAATCTTTTATTGACATTTTCACATGTTTCTGTTGTTGAGGTGGCAATTGATTTATGCCATGTGGAAGTCAAAGTTTGAAAAGGGCAGTCAAAGGTGTTTTGCCAAAAGCTAAGGGGCAGTTCCGTAAAACTCCAGCCTTCAATAAACCTAATTTCAATTAGGTTTTTTGTGTTCATTTCGTTTGGTCTGGAACTTTCTCTCTTGGTTAACAGAGAGAGAAAGTTTGTTGCAAGATGAGGATGCGCTGGAGGTTTCGAACAGCGTTGATTGAATCTACGGTTGTGGTAGGTCTTAGCTGGTGTTTTTCTGGTTCTTTGTTCTTCTGTATAAATAGTTTTACTAATGCTTGGTTATTGGGTGTGTGTATGAGAGGTGTACGAGATCTGGGTTTACAGAGGGGTATACACTGTGTAAAGGGTGAGCGTATCTCTGTAAGAATCTCTTTATTCTCATAGTGAAAACTTTCTTACTGCCCTGAAGAGTGGACGTAGGTAATCTATAAGATTACCGAACCACTATAAATCTCTGTCTCTCTTTTTTCATCTTTATTTTGCTTCATATTATTGTGGTTTAAAACTGCTGATTATATGTTACTATTATCTGCTGCTTGAATCTGGTTTTTTTTGCCTTATACTGGTTCTGTGATTGGTCTCTTGTTTCAACAGTTTCATATATATCAGTGTTCCCAGAAAGCAGTAGAAACCTCTTTTAGATGGCATACATGATAATAGCTCTATTTTTTTTACCTTGTCTCTTTCAGGGAAGTCCACTTCCAATAACGTTGGTCATCTCCCCAAATTACTGAAAGATCCCTAGCAAACAGCATGAAGCAGTTGCTTCCGGATTCCTTGTTAACCCAATACTTCTGTAATCGTTATATATGTTAATAATAGCGATAATAGGGATATACAAATAAAGTTTGTGAGATGGGAGCTTGCCTTTTTCTTTCCATTTAAGAAAACTCCAGAGTAGAGCTGATCTTTTATCTTGTTGGGGGAGGACTTGTCGATCGGTGAGTCTGCCTCTTTAAGAATGGCTTCATAATTGTGTGGGAGTTTAATCCCATTTGTTTTCTCCACTACATCCTGGGATTTCGTGTGAGAAACCTGAACTTCTTGACTTGATTGTGTCTGTGAAAAAGAATCAATAATGTCGATTTCCCTGATAACGAGTCTGGTCTTCTCCTGAGGATCCGGTGAAGACAAAGAGATCTTCATATCACCAGACATACCAGAACTGGGAGTGTGGAAATCTCCAATTGTGAGTTGTTTCCAAACATTGGTTTCTTGATCACTTAGATTTTCTGTGGTTTGTTCAGTTTCTCCATTTGGGAGTTCAAATTTCAGGGTAACGGGTTTATCCCATCCCTTGGCTCTGTCCTTCATCATTATAAGGAAAGAAACTTCATAGGTTTTGTCTGGAGATAGTTTACATGTCTTGAAATTCGTTTTTACCTCGATGCTCTTTCCACTTATTAGTTCATTCACTTCCACGCCCTTTATTTTGCACCTTTTCCAATCTCCCCCATGGTATGTGAGACCCTTTGAAAATAGCCTAAAGTCGATGGCATCGGAGTCCTTGTTATGCTTACACAGCTGCAATAATGATATGTAAAATATTAGAAAAATAAGAAAAAATTACGTGGGACAGTCTTACCAAGTCATCTGGTTGATATGGCAAGACCGTACAATGATATAATGACAAATACTGCTGTGTATATACTAATTTTTCTCATTCATCAATAATTACCCTCTACCATTTATCAATAACCATCACTATGATTGTTGATTATTGGACGGTCTTACCACGTCACCCAGATGACATGGTAAGACTGTACCTTGGAAAAATTTCTCAAAATATTAAGTACTTACCTTGAAGTTAAAACTTAGTTATATATTACTAAACTGTGAGAAGAGTAACCACTAAAATAATATGATACAAATACAGTTTGTAAGATGGGGCCTTTACCTGTGTGTTCTGATTCAAGAGAACTCCATTCTGGAGCTGTTTAAACACCTTCTGTGGAGAGGAGGTGTCAATATGTGAGTCTGCATCTTTAACAATGTCACGTAAGTTGTGTGGAAGTTGAGCCATCTCGTGACCTGTTATACTCTTAATTTCCTTAACTCTTGATGATCCTTCTCAAGCAGTCCTGTATTTATAGCATGCATCAGAGAATATTTAAAAGTATTCCTTCAACGGAATGAAAAGATGTTCTTTATCATGATAATTAAGCATCTTGAATCACTTTACTCCCAAGGATAAATCAGATTCTCAACCGACCAGAGAGACCGTGTTCTATACGCAGTTAAGTGACGGCTTCTACTGTAAAATGATACAACAGTACGTGTGCATGCAGTACCAATATCTCATTTATCACATCTTGTCAAAGATTATATATTATATTGCGTAAAAGAAACTCCAACTATTATTTTCTGCCTGAATCATCAGCTTAAGTCAGGTTCGATAGTTAAGATGTGTTAATCCCGCAATTTGCGCCAAATTTTTCCTAGGATTCATTATTAATATCCTAATAATAACATATGTATTTCTTCTTACGTTGTATACCAGATTCGGGCACCACAAGATATTTATTTATGATTCTAATCCACTACTTATTACCACCTTTCCAGATGTACTTCATAATGTAATTGGACGGCATATATATTGAGACATAGAACAAATCCGTCTCCAATCTTTCCAGGTGTTTTGAAGAGTGCTGCTATCCATTGACAATTTGGCTTTTAAATTTTAATTTCAAATCGTCCATCTACCCCAGTTTCTTTTCATTCTTCTTATTCTAACTTTTTTAGTTTTTAGTTTTTTTTTTTTTTTTTTAGACGGAGCTACGCATTTGTAGCTGGATTTATCGGATGTGAGTGTGAATCATTTGGTGTTTGGTTAATTAGTGAGTATGTTGTATTAAAATGTTTGGCTGGGAGGAATAAATTGATGGGTATGTTATTTAAATTATTGAATTGTCCTCTAATTAAATATTATTATTATATTATTTTTTAATATTGATTATTATTTGGATTATTATAAACCCCCAACATTTAAAAACTTAGCAAAAACAACCTCACAATAAAAGTTTGGAAAATCAACAAAGCACCCCCACCAACCTAGCCATTGTCGGCCGTCGGCAACCACCGCAGGCCGCCGGCAACCTAACAGTGCACGGAAGGTAGGAAATGGCCTCCGTGCGCCGTATGGCCATTTTCGGTCAGAGATCTAGCCGGAAATGGCATTATATTGATGCACGCCAACCATTTTCGGCCTTCCGTGCGCCGTTCCCGCAACGGCAATGGTTGGTCGCGACTGTAGTCGCCAGCGGCAAGTGGGTGGGGGTGATGGCTTTAATTTGTTTTGAATTCAATGGTACTTTTGTCCAAAAAGTTAATTAATTGGGGTAAAATAGTAAAAGTCATATTCATGTAAATAAATTTAAAAATAAGGGTATTATTATCCTAAAATTTTATTAATAAGTATATAATTGTAAAAAAAAAAAATATTACCTTGGTAATCTTAGAATACCTAAGAAAATGGAGGTAATCAGGTTACCTCAAATATTACCAACAGTAACTACTATTGATATTTGAAGATTACCGGAATCTTATATTACTTGACAACAAAATATGGTAATCAAGTAATATAAAATGACATAACTCCAGTAATCCCATATTACCCCCAACCAAACACCCCTAAATGTTAAGGAACATAAGACCAATATTCTATAGTGTTATAAGGAAGCTCCATGTAGGGATTTGTCATCAAAAGAATGTTACTCAACCGAAAAACTAGGATGAGGAAAATCGACAACTCACTCTATTCATATTATTCGACTAATATAATGGTGAGTCCCTCATCTACTAACTCAGGCTTTTAGATGGAATAATAACTTAACATGATCCTAGTATCAAATGTCTAAAGCTAGAATCCCCACATTCAGAATAAAGACAAAAGGAAAGAAAATTCAAGATTCAAATATAATTTTTTACAATTTAATTAATCAACTTTAGATAATATAATATGTGTACATATTTCCAATAATCTTCAAGGTAATCTAACTTTCTAGTAATCTTCAGGTAGCGTTTGGTTCAGGGTGATATAAGATTAATCCCGTAATCTTTGTTTAATTTTCAAGATTAATAAAATATTACGTAATCTTTTATTGCAAATAGTATTTACTGTTGGTAATATTTGGGGTAATCAGATTACCTTCCCAAGGGGTGTTATTATAAGATTACCGAGGTAATCTTAATTTTGACCCTATTTTGCCCTTAATAATTTACCATTTCGGACATATTTTCCCTCATATGTCTACCAAATAATAATTACCCAGACCCCCTACATTTGAGAATTTAGCTAAAATACCCCTGCCACAAAAAAGTTTAAAAGTTAACAAAATACCCCCAACCATCAAAGACCACCGCCGACCGCTAGCCACTACCGCTGGCGCAATTCGACATATCGGCACAAGACCGGCAGGATCTTGCCGGTCGTGTGCCGATAAGGATGTTTCCGGCCATGGATCTATCGGATCTGGCCGTTTCATGGCCAAAGATGTGGCCGTGAAACGCCATAGATCTGGCTTTGAAAAGGCCAGATCTTTGGCTGTGAAATGGTCGCCGTTTCACGGCCAAAGATCTGGTCTTTTCACGGCCAGATCTGTGGCCGTTTCACGGCCACATCTTTGGCGGTGAAATGGCCATATTAACGGTCAGATCTAGCCGTGAAACGACCATATTCATGGCCAGATCTGGCCAGATTAGGCCTTATCGGCGTACGACCAGCCAGATCTGGCTGGTCGTGCGCCATTACAGCGGCTTCTGGTGGTGGTGGTGGCTGCCGGCGGTGGCTTGGGGTGAGTGAGGGTGATTTTGTTATAAATTAAAGTTGTATATGGTGAGGGTGTTTTAGTAAAATTTCAAATATAGGGGGGTTAAAAGAAATAATTTAAAAAATAATAGAATAAAATAATAATAAAAATAACATTATATTATTATTTTAAAATGAGGGCAATTTAGTAATCTACATAACATACCCATTCATTTATCCTCCCAACCAAACATATTATTATAACATACCCATCAATTTATTCCAACCCACCAAACATATTTCTCTACAGATTCCTTAGTAATTTATCTTTTCAGTAATACAACATTTCTCAATAATATAACATTCACTGAACTAAACACACCTTCAAGGTAATCTAACTTTCCAGTAATCCAACATTCCTAGAACTAAACACCCCCTTATGGTATTATTAGGTATCACGTCATCCGCACTATCAAGTTATATCTAATTTTTTAAAAGAAATGCTATAATATAATGGTGATACCACAAGCCACTTAAAAGTTGACATGTGTCAGTATCATTAAACATTGATTAAAATCATTTTCTCTCATTTCTCACATTTACCCTTTTTCCTTCCACGAAAGCTTGCTAACTCAAATATACTCAAACCCCGAAAATATAAAGTACTTTTTTTTTTTAAAGCAAAATTGAAACAAAGTTCTTATTGTTACCCAGCAAATCTAAGTAATTGAAAAACAAGTTGAAACAGAAGACTTGTTGTTTGTGTTCTTGTGTTGTGCAAATATTTTTTGTAGAAATTATGGTAGAACATTTATTATGGATTTGAGTAGGAAGGATATGTGATACATGAAGTCCACCAAAAACTCTTCACTAATACAATGGTTTATAAAATTTTCATTACTTTATAAACAAAAAATTAAAAATAAAAAAATAAAGACTACAAGAAAAATGGCATACGGTAACATGCAAAAAGTGTTACCATAGATAATTAGTTGGTAGCATTTATAAGGATGTCGCGACAGCCCGTGTTACTAAAAAGTAGATATTGGTAACACTTTTTGCATGTTACTAATCATTTCAGTAACTGCAATAAAATGTTGTTGTTAAGTATATTGTAGTATTTATTCGTAGTTACGAATGATTTTTGTTAATACTATATAAATGCTATAAATAAGTTTTCTATAACACTCTTAACCTGTTATAGTTTAGTTTTCTGTAACATTCTCAAAATATTATAAATAAATTTTTTGTAACATTTTTAACTTGTTATAGTTTAGTTTTTTGTAAAATTTTCAAAATGTTATAGATAACAAATCTATGACATTTTTACAATTTTGTAGATTGGTTTTTCTTAACATTGTTAAAATGTTACAGAAGAGTTTTTAATAACATGTTAAAAGTGCTATCAAAGTATCATTAATTGCATTTTGTAAATGTTACAAAATTATTTTCCATTAATTTTGAAAGTGCTATCAATGTATCTGTTATATCATATATAAAAAATTGTTACAGTTGTTATTTTAATAATACAAATTATAAACAATGATATAGTAATTTTTCAAAGAACATTTCATTGATGGTGAACCTCCACATACAAAAAGTTTGCATATATAACTAATTAATAAATAGGCACCCAACATCCCTTACATCCATAAAATCTAATATGCTTCATATATCATATCATATTTTGTAACATATAAACCTTCATATATGTCTAACAAATATATTTTTACATTATAATACCTAGATGATTGGAAAATTAACTATGAACAATAGTTAATACTTTCCAATCATTCAAAAAATTTCTGACAACAAAAACCATCATGCATACCATCTTCCATTCCCAATTGTGCTTTAACAAAAGAGTACTCTTGCAATTTTTTTTTTTTTGGGTAAAACAGTAATTGAATTGAAAGAATAAAATAATTACAGCCTAAGGGGAACACCCCTAAAGACAAACCAACCTTGGGCATACCCAAGGGAACCTACAAAACCATTAATACAAAAAAAATCTCAATTCCCATGTATATTCTCGAAGATGACAACACATAAATATTGTAAATTCAAGAAAAGATTAAGACAAAAGCACCTCAAATATTTTAATGCAAAACAAAGAGGAACATAACACATGTTTAAATCTTTAACTTCACAATCACTAGTTCTAAAATACGGCACCATGCAAGTTTAAAAGATATATCAAAATTACATATTTTCAAATCATTATAGCACTGGTGAAATGTTTGTCTTGATATGACCAACGCATCAAATTCAAATTTAAATCCCTTTTGTTAGGCACAA